AAAAAAAAAAAAAAAAAAAAAAAAAAAAAAAAAAAAGACATAGAAGCAAAAAGGTATTTCATACAATGACTACAAAAAGTTACAAAAGATAAAAAGTTACAATGGCTATAAAAAGTTATAAAAGTATCTTAAGAACAACTCTCTTATGTCTGCTCAGTTACATTTTTAAACATGTGAAAAAATATGTAATCTATTGTATCAAGCTATTTCAATTTTATTTTCTAAACCCTCATATTTCCACTGCAAAAAAGCTATCACCTGGTCATCCTATCTCACAATAATGTTACACAATTATATACATGTACGTTATGTTATCAGATTTTATATTACTACATTGATGGTGTTATCAATACACTTGACAAATGTGGTTTAAGACTTCATAGAATGTCTATATTCACGTTAGAACTTGTCAATATTCAAAAAAATTTACAAAGAAATGCATTTCAAACAGTCCCAGGGCATTCCAGAGGGCAGTGCTTTACCTGCAGGGCTGACATGTTTGAAAGAGGCAGCGGCTGGAATGCCTAAAGCTTCTTTGAGCTCTGTCACCAGCTGCCAGGCATTCAAAGCATCACACAAGTTTATAAATCCAGGGGCTCCATTTAGAACTGTGTGCAAAAATATATACACACATTACCAATGAGGGTTAATAAGGTCAGATATATGTACATTTTTAAAAAAATAAAAACACTGATCAAGACTATGTAAATATTTTAAGTATAATTAAAAGGCAAACAGATATACATAAACATATAAGAACATGATGATAAAGGAGAACAAAGCAGCTGAGCCTGAGTCCATCTTAAAAAAATGCACATGTGCATGAACACACACATGTGCACGAACATACACATATACACACGTGCACACACCCTACTAGGGGACCAAATCCAGCCAGTCTAGAAGTAAATCAATAACAGAGATTCAGGAATGGGTTGAACACACACATGTGCACGAACATACACATATACACACGTGCACACACACTACTAGGGGACCAAATCCAGCCAGTCTAGAAGTAAATCAATAACAGAGATTCAGGAATGGGAGAAACTATGATGGACTGGTGATCCCACAGGCATAGAAAATGAGACACCATATGTACACCCCCCTCAGCACCCTGTCTTCATAGACGGTTTAGGCTAATGGTGGTAAGTGGGGGAAAACTTTTGGTTTCTGGAACATCCGAGTTAAGAGTACCAGTTCCCCTTCAAATGTCAAATTTTCGCAGACAGTAATAACCATTTAGACATAATAGAAAGTGCTACAGAGAAATGTTTACAGTTTGCTAAACACTTATCAAATAATTGAAACAAAGAGGAATCTTCTCGATTCCAATCACAAGAAAACCAGTCATTAAGATCTCAGACACACACACACACCCACACCACTCCATCTTTATTCTTGCTTCAGCTTTGTTTCTAGACACACAAACAAGCATGTGCTTTGTAATTACGTCATTGCCAAATATTCAAACCATATGAAAAGGCAAAGGGCCCCTTCTGTTGTGAAAATAAGCCCATGTTTGGGAGAAACCCTATGAATCTCTGAAAGAAATCCTTATTTATATGCCCAGGGCTTCCTCTGCCACATTTACTACAAACAATACTTTAAACTTCAAAAGAAAGAAATACACACACACAATTCATAAAGACTTTTACATAGTAGAAATGAAAATGCTATTGAAAATAAAAAGTATAGAAACTGAAAGTACTAGGAATATTTCTTGCTCCAGAATCTAAATGGGAAATATAAACTATAAGGAGGAAATATCTGAGATAAAACAGTAAATAAATCTGTTTTAAGAAGTTCTAGAAGTAAAAATTCATGCAAAATGTCAAATTTCCAATTATTCACTCAGCAAACACATAGAGAACATGCCAAGCAGTATTCCAAGTGCTGGGGATCCGCAGGGAACAAAGACAGACCAAGTTTCTGCTCTCAGGAGCTGACATCCCAATGTGCGAAGGAAAAACAGACGTGCAGCAAAATGGGGTGATGTGATCAAGTGTGGTGGGCAGCTGCTTTGGTCTGAGCAGCTGGGGAAGGCTTCTCTGAGAGGTGAGATCTGAATGGCTGATCTGGAGTGAAAGGAGCTGGGACCGTGGGACGCGAAGGAGAAGGGCTGGGAGCAGCTGAGGGAGGGCTTCAGAGGCAGATGAGTGTCACAAACACAGGGTCCACGGGGCAGGGCAGGGAACATGGGGAAGAAGGATGGCCAGTGAATGGTTAACACCAAATGATGTGCATGCAGTGTGGTGAGGAACAGAAAGGCCAAGAGAGAAAGCAGAGAGGTAAGTTAGATTGCTGCAGTCTGGGAAACTTTATGGGGTGACTGCAGGGAGTTGTCTGAAAAATTCAAAATATATTTCAGGTAGAGTAACGATAGAACCTACAGATCCACTGAATGTGAGGGGTGAGGAGAAGAATGTCTCACATTCTCCTCCAGCCTCCCGCCCTGCTCCCCTCTCCACCTCTCCCTCAGCTGGTGACAGGGACAAAGGGAGTGGACAGGAGCGCCTGCATCTCCCACCACCACGTGCTCCGACCTGCGTGCTCCGGGCTGGCCTTCTCCTTACGTGAACAAGGCTGTCCTTGCTCTCACCCAGGGCCATCCCTCGCAGCAGAGCCTGGCCCTTCAAGGCCTTCATATCTGTCACCTCACTCTCCCTTCCACCAGAGTAGGACACGCTCGAATAGCCAACCTCAGGAACAAAAATGGACAAAAACCTGAAAAGCCTTCTCTTAATTCTACAAACCCATGGAAGTCCTAATTTCTCTGTTCAACAAATTACCTTCATCACTGCTATTTCTTAACCTCATACTTCTACTGCAGCCCACTTTAACTGGGCTTCTAGACCCATCTTTCCAAGGAAACTGGTGCTTGTTACATTCTCCCCAAAGTAGTTCTTTTTCTGTTCTTAACAGCATTCAACTGGTTGAAATTCTCCATGTTTTCCTCTGCTGATCCCTCTACTGCTCTACCTACCAAGCTGAGAAATACCCCAAGGCTTGGTCTTGACCCTTTTCTATGAAATCCAGCTCATCGCACCCAGTCCTATGTCTTCAAAAACACCCGTATGCTAAAGACATTCCAATCTGTATCTACAACTTGACTTCTCTCCAGAACCCCATATGACCTCAAGTACAACTGGCATCTCAAATTTTGGATGGTTATAAGAGGTATTATGTAATTTACTTTATCTTCTAAATGTGAACCACATCAGACACAATACACAAAGACACACATGTATCCAGACACAGCAAACTGTGCCACATAACACTCAGGTTTTACCTGTGATGGGAAGCTTGGGCTTCAGTGTGTACAGCTGGGCAGGAGTTTGATGAGGATTCATTCCATACCTCAAGGGCATCTGAGATATTCCTTTACCGTACTGTTTCCTAAAGTAATCTGAAATTGCTTCATCATACTGTGCTGTATGAGTGAATGCCTACAACAGGTGTAAGTTTTGTGAGACGTTAGCAGCACTTCCTAAAGTGCAGACAAAATGCTTTTAGGTACACAGCAAACTACATGCCCTTGCCCTGTGCACGCATGCACACACACACACACACACGCATATGCACACACCCGAAAGACACCAAATAACAATGAATAGCACAATGAATTATCCTTTTCCTATTCTCCTTCAATCTTTTTAACAGAATCTCTCTAATATTTGGTCTCTCCATCTTTAACAAAAGGATAGCCAGCTCCAAGCAGAGCTATGAGAAGTAACATAATCTAGCAAGAATTAAACACCACCTGGTTTGGCAAACATATCACTAGAATGGCGTTACTTTACTATATTATGAAAGCGAATCCCCACCTTCAAGGCTAACTGTCGTCTGGTCTCCAAGGAGGTGTCCTTACTATCGGAGCTCTGCATCTCTGTGGACACCACCACATAGTCCTCTGGTTCACACACTACCGTCACCCGAGCGTGGTTTTTGGCTGCGGCTCTCAATAAAGTCACTCCACCTTTGAAGAACAAAAGACATTATTTTTGTATTTCCATATCAGTTTCCGGATCTCTTTCAAATAAACTAATTGTACACGCACTTCCACTTTAATTCCTGACTTAAAAAATAATTATAATAAAATTCAGATGAATGTCTGCAGACACAAAAAAATAAATAGCTTAGAAAAATGCAGATACATGAACCATATACATATAGTCATCACAGAACACAATCGGAGAAAACTGAACTTTCCACTTCCTCAATAATGAAAATCAAAATGAAATCTCCCTATAATTTAAAAAATCCCCTCCTCTGTCAGTCTTCTAAAATACTTTTTCTAACTTACCGATATCAATTTGCTCAACAGCCTCCTCAACAGTCACATCTGGAGAAGCCACTGTCTTCACAAAGGGATACAGATTACAGGCAACAACTCTAAAACAAAGTGGAATTTAGCCATCATTAAAAACTTACCTTTTGTGGTTTACAGCTATCTAGGAAAAAATAAGTCAATACTATTAACATAATCAAAAACCATAAAGATCTAAAATATAAACTGTGAGCATGACATTTTAGAATTCTAAAAAGTTGTATAAAAGTCAGCATGTTCTACTACCGTAGAGCACAGGTAATGAGTCAGCAGGTGCTCTGGGTCTGGACACACATTAGTCCCTCCAAATCATGTTGCAATGTTGCTGCTTAGCTACCCAGTACTAACAAGCCACCAAAATTTTTTTTAAAAATTTAATAGAAATGTAAAATGCAGGATTAAAGATAAGATCCTCTTTTGGATGTGATCCCTACAAGGGTACTTCAGAAAGTTCATGGAAAGATTTGTATTATCTTTCAATTCTATTTTTCCATGAACTTTTTGAAGTACCCTCATATTATCTAGGACATCTGATTCCTTTTCCAGTGGACTGTGTGCAATTAATGAAAAACAATGGAGCATTCTAAAGGTGAAATACTTGTTTGTTTTGCTACCAGAGAAGTCATAAAAATAATGGTAATAGAAAGGCCAAAAGAATCTAAATACAGAACTAATATAAAATTAACACCCACTGGAGTTCCACTCCCAGGGCTGTAACCTGAGCAGCTTTGTGGGAAGGCTCCCCAGCAAAACAAGCTTAACTGGTGAAAACTAAACAAATAAAAAAAAAAAAAAAAAAAAAAAAAAAAAAATCCAGAAAAACAGAAGAGGAGGGGAAACACTTCCCAGCTTATTCTATCAGGCCTATTACTTTGATACATACACTAGACAAATATATCACAAGGAAACTGCAGACCACTATCTCTTATGTATAATGACACAAAAATCCTCAACAAAATACTAGCAAACCAAATCCAGAAAAATATAAAAAGAAGTACATACAATGCCTAGTAAGGTCTACCCCAGGAATGTAAAGTTGGTTTTATATCTAAAAACTAGTTAATGGAATGGCAATAAAATAAAGGACAAAAACCATCTGATCCTCCCAATAGATCACAAAAATCATTTGACAAAATTCAACATCTATTCATGATAAAAACACTCAACAAATTAAGAACAGACGGAGACTGCCTCAACATGATAAAGTGTAAGAAAAATCCACGGTTAACCTCATACTTGATGGTGAAAGAATACTTTCCCCTAAGATCAGGAACAAGACAAGGATGTCCACTCTCACTCAACATTGATCACTTCTACTCAACATTGTACTACTGGAGGTTCTAGTCAGGGCAATTAGCAACAAATATAAAATAAAAGACACCAGCATTGGATAGAAAGACATGAAGTTATCTCTATTTGCGGTGATATAATCGTGTATATAGAAAATCCTAAGGAACCAAAAAAACCTATGAGCACTAATAAATGAGTTCAGCAAGGAAGTTGCAACTTATATGCTCCACATATGAAAATCAATTATACCAATATACATTAGCAATGAACCAGAAAATGTAATTAAGAAAACAATTCCACTTACAATAGCAACAAAAGGAATAAAATTGAAGAATATGTTTAACAAAAGCACAGGACTTGTATACTAAAAAGTACAAAACATTGTTGACAGAAGTAAAAGAAAATCTAAATAAACAGAAAGATAGTCCATGTTCATGGACTGGAAAACTTAATATTGTAAAGATGGCAATATTCCCCAAATTGATCTACAAATTCAACACAATCCCTGTGAAAATTCCAACTGCCTTTTTTGCAGAAATGGGCAATCTGATCCTAAAAAGCATGAAAAAAATGCAAGGGATTCTGAATATCCAAAACAATCTTGAATTGAAAAACAAAGCTGAAGGACTCATACTTTACAATTTCAAAAATTTACTGCATACCTACAGTAATGGTAGAGCATTGACACAAAGACAGACACATAGATGAAGGGTGCTAAGACCATTCAATGGCAGAAAGAATAGTCTTTTCAACAAATGATGCTGGGACAGCCACATACAAAAGAATAAAGTTGGAAACCTACCTCACACCTATATAAAAATTACATTAAAATGAATCAAAGATCTAAGTGGAAGAGCCAAAACTAAAATCTTTTAAATCTTTATCACCCAGGATTAGGCAAAGACTTGGTTTCTTAGGTTACAACAAAAGCACAAGCAACGAAAGAAAAAATACAACCACGTGCCACATAAAGACATTTCGGTCAAAAACAAGCATCACATATGATGGTGGTCCCAAAAGATTATAATGACTATACCATATAGCCTAGGTGTGTAGTAGGCTATACCATTTAGGTTTGTGTAAGTACATTCTATGATATTCGCACAACAACAAATATAACAACACATTTCTCAAAACATATGCCCATCGTGAAGCCACACATGACTAGGTAAACTGACTATCACTGAAAAAATTTTAAAAACCACATAATCCACAGAATTGGGGAAAGTAAACTAAACTCAATAATAAAAAGATAAATAACTAAAAAGTGGGCAACGGATCTGAACATTTCTCCAATGAAGACACCCAAATGGCCAATAAGCCCATGAAAAGATATTCATCATCATTAGGAAAAGCAAATCATACCACAATGTGATGCCACTTCATACCTATTAGGATGGCTAGAATCAAAAAGATAATGATAAATGTTGATGAGAATGTGGAGAAACCAGAACCCTTGTACATTGTTGCTGGAAATGTAAAATGGTGCAACACTCTGGAAAATAGTCTGACAGTTCTTCAAAAGGTTAAACAGAGTTACCATATGGCCAAGGAATTCCATTCCTAGGTATATACCCCAAAGAAATGAATATACATGTTCCCACAAAAACCTGTACATGAATATTCATAGCTGCATTATTTATAATCCAAAAAGGAGAAACTCAAATGTCCATCATCTGATAAACTGATAAATGAAATGGGGTTTATCCATGCAATGGGCTATTTTTCAGTAATAAAAATTAATGAAGTACTGATACCATGTTACAACATGGATGAACCTTGAAAACATGCTAAGTGGAAGAAACCAGCCATGAAGGACCACATAGCTAAGGTTCCATTTATATGAAATGTCCAGTATAGGCAAATCCATAGAGACAGAACATAGGCTGGTGGTTGCCAAGGCTGGAAGGTGCTAGGGAAAAACAGGGGAGAATTAATGTTAATAGGTATGGAGTTTTTTTCCGAGGGGGTGGTGAAAAATATGTTCTAGCACTGAATGTGTTGCACAATTCTGTGAATATACTAAAAAACCACTAAACTGTACATTTTATATTGGTGAATTATATGGTATGTCAAAGATATCTCAATAAAGCTGCTACATATATTTAAAAGAAACTGTCAACATCTTCATGCAAATGACTAAGTTGGTTATATGTATTAAATCTTAGATCATAACTTCCTAAAAAAGCAAAGGTTGTTTTTAGCTTGAGTACATATATTGATAATGTAAATTTGGCAAAACCAAAATGTTTACACACATATAATGTCACACAGAAGATACAAAGTAAAGGTTTATAATGAATAAAAAAAGGAGTGGGACGGACAACAAGTTTGGCACACTCTTTGTCTCTGATCTTGCATGTGTTAAAGTTTCACCTGCAAAGACTTACCTTATAAGATTGAAATTAAGTCTGGCCATGTCAGCATTATCTTCTGGGATATTACGAGCCAGGATTCCTAATTTAACAAAGTTAAAAAAGTATTAGGTTCAAAAAACAAGTCCAAATAAGGTACTACGGGGATCCAAACCCTTGACCTTGGAGTTGTAACACTGTGCTCTAACCAACTGAGCTAATCGGCCAGCCCAAATACTCTAATATTCTTAATTAAAGAATACCAAATACATACTCACGGAGTTAAAAAACAAAAAAAATTAACAGGAGTGGACATATTTAAAAATCTTTTTCATCAGTTCTTGATGCCTGCTTCTTGAGCAACAAAAAGTGAAAAAGTCAAAAGGAATTTTTACACAACTATTGCCAGTTCCGTTACAATCTATGTGTTCCCATAAGTCAATGGTTTGTCTGATGATCCTTAGCCTTTTAGCCTTTATTTGCCAAATTGTACTGCAACTGGCAAGTTAAAATTATACCTGTTTCTTGCATTTTGGTTTATACGCAATTTGCTGTCTCAGATGAACACATGTAAAAGCACTACAAAAAAATGTCAGTTTAAAGTCAGTTAGATTGTGATGCTTTATTCTAAGTCTGAATTGTCTTAAAAGTCTTTTCTTACTATAAAATCTAAATATTTTCAATAACTCCAGTGGGAAATACTACACTCTAAATTACTTAACAGGTCAGGACTAACAGCAAGCAGAGGAGAACAATTTGAATTTATCATGTTATACAGCAAGCCAGATTTTATTTTATTATTTTTTTATTTTTTTGTCTTTTGTCTTTTTCCGTGTCCGGCAACGGATCCCAACCCTCAGTGTTGCCCCCGTACCGGACCGGGGACCGGCAACGGGATCGCAACCCTCGACGTTGCTCCCGCGCCTCGCTCAGCCAGTGAGCGGGAACCGGTCTGCATGTGGGATCCGAACCCTCGGGCGGGAGCGCCGCCACACTTCCCAAGCGGCGCACTTAGCAAGCCAGATTTTAAACAGGCCTTAATGTATTATGAAATATGGCAGCAAACATGTCAAAACCAATATAATTGTAAAGGTAAAATTTTTTAAAGCTTATGACCTGCCCTTTATTTCCTTTATTCTACAAAGTTATCAACTAAAATATTTCTGAAAAACACTAATTGTTTTAAACTGAAGGTACCAACCACTTACCAGCATGAACTGCAGGATGCAACGTTTTCACACGTCCCCCTAACATTTCAGGAAATCCCGTCAGCTCAGAGATATCTCTGAAAATAAACAATATTACTACTGTTTCTGCTGAATTGTCATTCACTTACCAGCATGAACTGCAGGATGCAACGTTTTCACACGTCCCCCTAACATTTCAGGAAATCCTGTCAGCTCAGAGATATCTCTGAAAATAAACAATATTACTACTGTTTCTGCTGAATTGTCATTTTACACTATTCAAAGCATATTCCTAAGTGTACTAAGTGTACTGTTCTCATTTCGAGAGATTTTTCAGAGCCTGAATTGTACAAAAAAATTATTCTAGTTTCTCAAGTCTTTTACTGTACTTTAAGTAAAATTCTATTTACTTTTTAAAAAATATGGTTTATCCTATTTTCTAACTGATGTGTGTTCAGGGAGAATCAGCAAGCATTAAAGCATTGGTTTTACAATTTTCAGATAATTCAGAAATTGAATCTTAAGCTATACTAATTAAATATTAAGAAATAAATTCAACTGAGAAGCAATTTGGCAGTATATATATAACAAAGAGCATTAAAAATATCCTATGTCAGAAACAGACCAAAGTAGAAATAGGAATTTAATTTTACAATAAAAAAGCATAAAGATGGTATATCAAATGAGTGAGAAAGTAAAAGACTGTTTAGTAAAGTGGTATTGGTATTGGAATAACTAGTTAACCCAACACAAAAATAAGTTCCTGATGAATCAAAGGTTTAAGCATTTAAAAAAAAATCATATAAATACTAAAATTAAATATGTGAGAATGCATTTAAAAAAAGACTGATAGCTCTGATTACATAAATGTTAAAAACTTTTACATGGGGAAAAAAAAGTAAGTGAACTGGAAAAAATAGTCACAAAATATGACAAAAGACCAAATGAAGGATAATATTTAAATATTAACCATATCACCAAGCTGACCTCCAGAATGTTGCATCCATGAACACTCTCTGGTAGAATTTACAAATTTGACTGATGTAGAAAAATGCCCACAATATGTAAACAGCAAGAAGCAAGGAGTAAAATTGCAACTATCTTCTGTGTGAGATATGAAATAAAGTATATGCTTATAAAAATACTGGAAGGAAATACATTAACATGTTAAAAATTATAAGCCATTTTTACTACCTTCTTTACAGCTTTCCACATTTGTTGAATTTTCTACACTCAATATATACAGCCTTTATAGTAACAAAATACTAAACATTTTAAAGTAGCAATTTCTGCCAATAGGATACAAAATTTCCTGGGTAGACTCTCCTATTAAGGAGGGCCATTTTCAAATAACTGTTTGGCCAAGGACTCATACAATTCCAATATCAACTAACAAACTGGTGACACTATGGTTTCAAATTCCAAATCTCCTTTCCCAGAATTCAGTTAATAAAATCTAGTTCCTCCAACTGAAAAGAATCACTTAAATCTTAGAGAAGGCATATTTATTCTTAGAATTAAACATATGGGGTAATTAAAAAGCTTGCTACTCCTTTGTATTTAAGAATTTGTATGTAACAGCTGTAGTCTTCGGATATAACTCTCCATATGCTCACTGCTGTATACTCACTGATTAAAATCTCATCAGTTTTACCTCATGACAAGGCAATGGTTAACTTTCTGGGATAAAATTGTTGGGGCTCAGAAAACAATACCCCAAAGCACTTAGGCATGCTGAGTACTCTGAACCAAAGGAGCCTCAGAACCAAGGTCTCTCTGACCTTCTCCTGACCTCCTACCTCTTGCCCCTTATTCTCCAACAAATTAAGTCACAGAAACCAGAATTCCTCTTATCCAAGGCAGGACATAGAACCCCTTTCCCCCAAGCCATTCATAAAAACTAAAATTGTCACTCTAACCCTCTTCCACCTTTCTGTCTAGGACTTAGCCATGAAGAAATTCTTTGACCTACTCTTGTCCAATAAAAGGTCAAAGACCCCATTCCAGAGGAGTCCTGCTCCAAACCTGGGAGGAAGGAATGCTACAAAGAAGCTAAGAAGAATCTGAACAGACAGGCCATGCTGGGTTTCCCATCTCAGTCTGTTACTGTTAGATCATACCTTTTTGTCCAGTCGTATTTCTACATGGCTGTTCACACTTTGTCGAACCTAAGCATAAAAATGGATAGTTCTCCCTGTATTTTTGCGTTTTCATTCTGAAGGCTCCCGTGTCATGTAAAACTTGATTAAATAAATTTGTTAGGCCTTTTCCTTATTAACTTGTCTTTTGTTACGGAAGTGTTAGCCGTGACTCTTACAATGGGGAGAAAAGGAATCACACCTTTCTGTCCCTATAAAATCTTGACCTCTTAATAGCTGTGTGATCTTGGGCAAGTTATTTAACTTCTTTGTGCCTCAGTTTCTTTATCTATCTAATGGGGATAAATACCACCTACATCAAAAAGCTGTTGCAAGGACTACATGAGCTAATACATATAAGACACCCCTCCAACTTGTTTATATTCCATCCAATGAACCTTATTGTGCTAGGCTCTAAATAAACCACTCATGGTGAACACTCTCACCTTTTAATAGGAGAGAAACAAGTTTACGTTCCCAATTTTTAAGAAAGATACCACCATCATGAGGTAAGCAAGGAATGTATAGAGGTACAGAAATAAGACAGACCACTTGATAAGTATTGTCCACTTGGTAACAGCTACATGACATAAAAGCTCATCATACTTTTCTATTTTTGATTATGTCTGGAATGTTTCCATAATACAAAGTTTGGTGGGGAGAAAAAAAAAGGCCACAAATGAGGACTTGGCTTAATTTAAAGGTTCCAACTACAATAGGATGCCCCAGTTTGGCCCAATAGAAAGTAAGAGGTCTGGACTTCAAATTCTCATCTGCTGCTGTTCAGAAAAGAGCTAACCTGCCTGCCTTCCATGATTCTTACAGGGTTCCTATAGCAACCACATCAGAAACAAGATGCAAAAAGACTTTATAAAGCACTTCTTCAATAAACAAAGTAAGGAGTTCTTGCCATCTGAACTCAAATCTAGGGAAGCCACGTGCTGCTTGCAAAGGGTAGAATTACAAGAAAAACCTAACTCTACACTGATCTAGTGAGCAAGAAGCAAATTTTCTACATGTCAACAAAGGCAGACAGATCTTTCACCCCTTTTCTAAGACTTATTTCACGGGGGTGTCCCTACACTGAACTCTCACTGCAGTTTATTATAGCTGTCCTGTGGTCTTTTTCACTTTCTGCCCTTCAGTGGTTACACACTGTCACTCCAGAGTGCCAGCTCCTTGAGGTCAGCCATGGCATACTGACTTCTCTTTTGCACATGCCTTCTTTCCATCCCCTAGTCAGATAAGGAACAGCCTGTGAAGAAGCAAGTGAATGATTTGTAATTTCATTAGGTTACCAAAGATTCTAATGGAAAAGAGGTAGTTTGAATCTTCACGATGTCAACAGTTTTACTGAATAACCAACCAAAACTGATCATGTGAATCAGAACTTGAGTCTTTTGTGCATAACAAATGGTCCATCTGCATTAATTTGTTAAAGGAAGTGGCTAAAACCTAGGGCTCTGAAATCAGGTTTTCAATCCCAGCGCTACTCCTTACTTAACCCTGTATAACCTTGTGCAGAAGTCACTCAATCTCTCTGAGCCTCATTTTGCTCTCCCATAAGATGGGAAAGCAGTGTACCAACCGCACAGCGTTATGGGGAGGAGTAAATAAGGAATTCTACTCATAGGCCTGGAATACTTTCTGGTCAGTGTGATCACACTCCGTTCTGACGGGACCTAACTTAAAAACGAAGTTGCGCCTTACCTGACGGCCAGGCCAGCATCCCTGAGAGCTTTTGCAGTCCCTCCAGAAGCGACCAGATTCAAACCAAGAGAAGTTAGGCTTCTGGCAAACTCCACAAGGCCGGTTTTGTCAGAGACACTAAACAAGGCTGAAACAGAAGACACTTTTCTCATTACTCGCAGTACGTTACACTGTGTTCTCCCCAGGCCTGGGAGGCGATCGAGGGAGAAGTTACGAACGGCAGGGCCAGCACCGGGCGCCCAGCAGCAGGCCCAGTCCCCGGGCCTCCCCAGGTCAGACACCCGCGAGCCGCCCTACGCGGGCCCGACACGGGCTGGGGCAGGGCCGTCCCGCAGTGGCGGCGGCCGACGGGA